TTCTTTGCTCTTCCATAAGAAGCAATTCCTCATCCATTAAAGTTTTATCATGAGATACAGCAATTCAGTCACATCTTCAGGCTCCACTTCTAATTCTAATTCTCTTGCTATTTCTACTACATCTACAGTTACTTCCTCCACTGAAATGTTAAATCCCTCAAAATCATCCATGAGGGTTGGAATCAACTTCTTTCAAACTCCTATTAATGCTGATATTTTGACCTCCTCCCTGACACATATGTTCTTAATGGCATCTAAAATGGTGAATCCTTTCCAGAAGGTGCAATTTACTTTGCCCAGATCCATCAGAGGAATTATGGTAACTATAGCTTTATGAAATGTATTTCTTCAATAATTAGATTTGAAAGTCAAAATTAACCCTTGGTCTATGAGTTGCAGAATGGATGTTGTATTAGCAGGCATGAAAACAACATTAATCTTATTGTACATCTCTACTGAGATCAGATGGTAAATTTCTGAATGCATTTCATAATTTCTAGAAGTATATGCTTCCTCATAGTATCATTTTTAATGCTTCACTGCACAAGAAATGTTTACTAACAGACCCCAAATATATTTAGTTCCTTTGTAATTGGAAGCCCAAAGTGGGTTCAGTAATTTTAAACATGTCAGTGTTTTATGTTATTTAGAAATGACCTAGATATTCAATGAATTTCCATTATTTAACTTAAAAAAACTCTAAGGGTTAAGTTATCAGAGAGATTTGGGGCAACATTTAAGCAGACATATCTTACTGTTAAAAAGCTCATTTATAAATTTTATCTTACATTTAATTCACTTGCTCTTACCAATTATGTTTAGATTACTCATGAAAATATCATGAGACATTACACCAACTTAGCCATCAATCTAAGTTATTTTTCTTGCTGGCAAATTTTGTTACAGAGATAACATGAACTTATTTGTATAGTAAACTCAATTAGAATACAAGTCATATGTCTGCAGTTTTATGCTCATAACTAAAAAAATGCCTATTTTAATTAAGCCAACAAATTTAAATGGTTTTACTTAACAAAGATTATCCCAGGTCACATGAACTTGAGAAGCATTTAGGTTACTTTCTATATTTTTTAGAGGTTTTGTGTTATTTAATTTATGTAAATGCTTGTTTTTCTTTAGGCCAATTAAATAGAACTCTTCTACAAATTAATTTTCGCAATATCATCCAGAGTCACAAAAATACTACATACACATGACATACATTTATAGACATAAATATAGAAACAGAAGCAAATTGTTGATTTGAATCTCTGCTTCACCCTGTCTACTATTACTTCCCTGTAGATTTTTCTTTATTTCACTTAAACCTCATTTCTTCCTGGGTCTTTTTTACACTATTGCTGTATGCAATGAGTTCTTTGAGCATCCTGATAACCAGTGTTTTGAACTCTGCATCGGATAGGCTGGTTATCTCTGTTTCCTTTAATTCTTTTTCTGGGGTTTTGTTCTGTTCTTTCATCTGGGCCATATTTCTTTGTCTCCTCAATTTTGCAGCCTACCTGTGTTTGTTTCCATGCATTAGGTAGAGCTGCTTTGATTCCTTGTCTTGGCAATGTGGCTTACTGTAGAAAAGGTACCTGTAATTTGGGCAGAGCCTTAAGTAATCAATCGCCAGGACAGGGCAACCCACTTCACCACTTTGTGGCTCTGTGTGGGGAAAGGGCTCAGAGAGGGGGCAATGCCACTATCTGGCTCCTGGATGCACTCACCCATTTCCAGTCATTTCACTTATTCCCCATATGTGACTGGTGCCCTTCCAGTTATTGCCCTGGTGCTGAATCCAGAAGAGGTGAGTCTGCATAACTTCTAAGTCTGTGTGGGACCTTTAAGCACAATCTCCTGAAAATCTGTCAGTTTCTGCCCCAAAACCCACTGATTTTTACAGCCAGAAGTTACAGAGATTTATCTTCCTGGCACTGGAACCCTGGACCATGTGCTCTGGCCTGGGGCTGGGATTCATCATTCATGAGGTAGCCCTCTCAGTTTTTATCCACTACATGTGAATGTGGGGCCATACTGTTCCTCTGCCTCTCTGTGCCACGCCATGTCTCATACCTCTCCACCTGTCTGAGTCTCTGCCCCTCCTACCCATCTGGATGAATATGACTTCATTAATCCTTGGTTGTTGGGCTTCCATACAGCTCAATTTTCTGATGTTTCTGAGTTATTTGTTTGGAGGTCTAGTCTTATTCTTTTAAATTTATTTCATTTTTTAAAATTTTATTTATTTTCAGAAAGAAGAAGGGAGGGAGATAGAGAGGGAGAGAAACAAACAATGTGTGGTTGCCTCTCACATTTCCCCTACTGGGGACCTGGCTCAAAACCCAGGCATATGCCTTGACTGGGAATCCAACCAGTGACCCTTTGATTTGCAAGCTGGCATTCAATCCACTGAGCCACACAAGCTAGGGCTGAGATCTAGTATTAACTTTTTCTGTAGTTGTGCAAGGAGGTAAAGCCTGTTTACCTATGCCTCCATTTGACCAGAAATCAATAGAAACTTAATGCTATCACCAACATACTGTTAAAAGTAGTCAAGGATATTATTAAGTAAAATAAAAATGAAGACTAATCATCAAGAATTTGTTATATGTTTGGAATAGTCCTGAAGAGCACTTAGTTTCACACTTAGCAAAATGAAAACTCTCATACATAAATACTATACAAGATATGGTTTATTATAATAAAGTCAAAGGTTATTTTCTCACCAAAGTATGCTAACACATTATTAGTATGGGGAACATTTAATAAGCATGGATCTTAAATTTCCAGGGCATTCAACCATAGTATTCAACCATCCATGGTGCAGTGCCATCAAGCCTCATAGAAGCTCAACAATGTCACTTTAAAAGCCTGACATACTCACAGGATTCTCTCTTTTTTTACCAAGCCAAATCAACAGGACTTAGCTATTCCAGGTAATAGCTATTCCAGAGTTTTTCAATTCTGCCACCATGATTATTTTGCCATTTTGCCCACAAGTTACAAACATAGTACAACCCTGCTATACTATTCTGTGGACATAGGCAACCAGACTATAAGTCCTATGGGTGGCTAAGCATAAAGCAGAGACTGTGGGTGGTCTTCCATTATCCATTCCCTCCTCCCTCTTTAGTAACAGAACACCATAATTTTGTCTGGGTCCGTGGTCACCAAGCTAAAGACCACAACCTTTCTTGTATTTAGGTGTGGCCATGACTAAATTTTTGCCAGAAAGTGATATGGGAAACTTCTAGGTCATGCCTTTAAAAGTAAAACAACTTGCCTTCCCCCTCCAGTTCTCTTCCTCCTACTATCTACACTGTAGATATAATGGTGAATGATGAAAGAGCTGTGTTTGACCATGAGATTGAAGTCATACGTTAAGAACAGCACCTTGACCTGGCTGGTGTAGTCAGTGGATTGAGTGCGGGCTGGGAACCAAAGTTTCCCAGGTTCGATTCCCCGCCAGGGTACATTCCTGGGTTGCAGGCCATAACCCCCAGCAACCACACATTGATGTTTCTCTCTCTCTTTCTCTATCTCCCTCCCTTCCCTCTCTGAAAAATAAATAAATAAAATATTAAAAAAAAAAAAAGAACAGCACCTTGATTTCAGTGATGGTATTATGGGTGTATACATATGTTTAAATTCATCAAACTGTATACATTAAATATATGCAGTTTTAAGAATACCAATTATACCTCAATAAATCTGTTATAAAATAATAAAGTTAAGATTATCAGCTCCCCTCCAGGAGAAAAAAAAGAATGGTAGAACAATAAGAAGAAACTGGAGTCCCTGAAAGCATGCAACATCATATTAACCCTGGCCTGCTCACTCTATCACTGTTAATGAAAGATAAATAAATTTATATTTAAGTCATTATGATTTGCTTTCTGTCTAATGCAGAATGTGATATCAACACAGAAGTATTGATGTAACAAAACCTAAAATAGGAGGCATTGGCTCAGTGGTAGGGTGTGGCACAGTGAGTGACAAGGAGACATGACAGGTAGCAACCCTGATCATCTTTATTCTGCCATAGCAAAACTTTTGCTGCATTGCTACCTGAAGTAACTTGGAAAGTAGAGCCTGTAATTCTAATGGAACTTATTGGGAAATCTCAGAATACTGGTTTGAGTTGGCTGCTTTATGTCACTTTAGCAAACTCCTATCTATATAATTTTAATTCAAGCTAGGTATATACTGTTTGAATTTTTTAAGTTGTAGACATAGTATACTTTAAGTCAACTTTTAACTTTAAAATAGTCCTATGAAAAAATTTCATAGAAAAATAAGATTATTCTGTCATTAATGAAACAAAGATAAGTGATTTCATACAATGACCCAACCGGCAGACCACTATTATTCACATTTGAGACAAAAGCCTACATTACCACAGAATCATCAGGGATGACAAAGAAATGAGAGAACATGAAGACTTAGAAAATGACCAGATTTGGGATAAAATGAATAGAGAAGAGTCCAGAGTATTCAAAATCTCTCAAAAGAATGAGAAGAGGTATCTAAAACAAAATTGGTGATCAAAACAAACTATATAGTACTTGGAAGAAAAGGAATCAGGAAAGAGGAGTTAGAGGAAGCGGGAAAGAGATCAAGAAAGGGAGGAAGAAAGAAAGAAGGCTGGAGCCCTGGCCATGTGGGTCAGTTGGTTGGAGTGTCCTCCCATACACCAAAGGACTGCGGGTTCGATTTCAGTCAGGGGATATACATAGGTCGTAGGTTCAATCCCCGCCCATGGCACTTATGGGAAGCAACTGATTGGTGTTTCTCTCACATTTATGCTTTTCTCCTAACTCTCTTTCTTCCTTCTTCTTCTCTCTCTAAAAATCAATAAATATATCCTCACATGTGGAATAGAAAGTAAAAATATTTTTTTAAAAAAGAAAGAAGGCTGTATATTTAACATATCAACAAGATCACCACAATATCTGTTACTAGAGAGTAAGAATATAAAAAAGAAATGTCACGGTAAAATGGAGATTCCTGTCCTTGGTGGTTATACTGTAGAACAGGGGTCCCAACATTTTTGGCACCTGGGTTTTTCCACTGGGTGGGGGTTGGGGTAAGGGACTATCAGGAAGCAGAACTCAGGCTTCAGTTGCTCCTGGAGGGTGGGGTAGTGTTGGGAACCACCCTACCTGGTTTCAGAAGCTCTAACTCTCCATGGCTAAAGCTGAGTGAGAGACCTTGGGACCCTAAACCACTAAAGAGACAAAGCTTATCCCCCAGCAGGAGCACCGCCTCTGCCCCCTTTTACTTCACCCTGCCTGGCCCCCAGTTCATGAACAGTTAGCCAATGATGGGTAAGATTCCTAAACAACCTAAGACTACCTAAGACAAGCATGGTCACAAATGGGCCCTCATGGAAGAACTTGGGGGACTACAGCAAAAGGGGGTAATGGACCCTCACCCCTCAGCTTTGGCATAGCCAGAGTTCTCATTCTGTCTGCCAAAAGTCTCCTAATCTCTTGGCTGCCTTACTTTCCTTGCTTGACCTAAGCCTGAAACTATGCTGGAGGTGGGTACAGCCCTGTGCTGGAAAGGGCAGGTTCCCCAGGGCAATCAGGCCTAAGGAAGAATGCATAAAATCCTGTGAAACTTGCTTTCTTAATACCCTCAACTTAAATGATAAGGGCTCAAGTATGAAATAAGTTTGTTTCCCCCAAAGTATTATGGCCCTTTAGCTATTTGATCCTGACTCAAAATAGGCCCTCAGAGTTCTTTGAATGTTATCTATTTGATCATTACTGCCTGACAATGATTGATGAGCTTTCCATATACACCTTTGAAAATTAAAGCCAATAAAAGCTTGTCAAGGCAAGGGTTGAGGTGCTCTCCTCTTGAGAGAGTGGCCATGCTGTCCCTTTTCCTCCACAGGACTTAGTAGTCCATGTGAATTTGTCTCATCTCAGCCATAACATCACAGACACTATGGGCAGTGGAGTCCGAGTCAGGGTAGGAGTCTAAGGCAGGAGGCAGAGCTCAGGCAAACTTCTTTCACAGCCCGGGTCCTAACAGGCCGCAGAATAGTACCAGGCCAAGGCCCGGGGGTTGGGAACCTCTGCTATAGAAGTATAAAGAAGGTAAATTATAACATTTTGCAACCAGATTCAGTTATACACAATTAAGATAAATGGCTGTTTGAAAGGAAAACTTATTTACTCATTAAGAGACTATACACTGTGTCAGTGGATCGGTTACTTAAAGTAGTAAAAAGTAGGTAATTATTTTGTATACTTTTAAAAATTCAGGCCAATTTTAAAGTATTTTTAACTAGGTTTCAATTCTCTCATTTTGCCCATTTTTTTACTTCATTTAGCTTTCTAGAGTTGAGCCTTTTAATTTAAAATATGTTTTGTTCTTTCTTAAGAAATGTTGTTTCGCTTTATAAATTCCAGTGAAAAATGTTACATTTTCATTGACATTTCACAAATGTGAATAGAAGATCTAAAATGCTCCAGTCAGAAATAATCCAAGTGGGTGAGCATTTTTAATGATAGGATATTAATTTTTAAAATATTAATTACTGCTTCTAGGTGAAAGATTTTTTTTTTGACCAGTACAAAAATCTTTTGATCTTCATGGAACAGGAATTTTTAAGAAACATTTACTTCTGAATATAGAAAAACACACAGATTCAGTGGGGAAAAAATAAAAAGAATATAGTTATCCTTTTATTACTCTTCGGCTCTACTCTGTGACAGATGAGGATTATATCCCTCAGGTAGTGAACCAGATATCAGGTGACAAAAACACAGCCATCGTCATTACCCTTGGTCAGCACTTCTACCCTTTCTCCATTGACATTTTTATTCACAGGGCCATGCATGTCCAAAAATCTATTGAACAACTGTTTCTAAGAAACCTGGCCACAAAAGTCACCCATAAGACAGAAAACATCAGAGAGATGCACACAGAGACAGAGAGTTTTGGGGACTTCTTATCATGAAGGACATTGTGAAAGATCTCAGTGTGGGTGTCATCGATGGCTGGGACATGACCATTGCATGTGGTACCAACAATGTCCACCCACTTTATCATGTGATTGAAAATCAAATTAACTTGTTCTTTAAGTATATTTGCTAAAGTCTAAATATGTGAAATCCCTAGGTACTAATCTCCATCTTGTCAGAGAAGTTTTATTTATTCTAGAGATTAAGAAAATCAAATTTAAAAGAATATGTCTAGACAGGAAGGATACTTAGGAATAAAGACAACCAATATAAAATGCAAAGCCAAGAGAATTGACATGAAAAATTATTATACCATGCCTTGAGCTTGTCTATGAGCAATAATAAATGTTTTTATTCTTTAAGCAAGGTTGGGTCATGACTTCTGTTACCTGTGCTGAAAGCCTCCTACCTGATACTGTAGTAGGGTAAAGGAGAATAAACATTTAATCATATGATGGTCTAAAACAGGGTCCATCTAACTTTTTCTGTAAAGGGCTAGGTGGTAAATATTTTCGGCTTTGCAAGCCATTTGTCTTTGTCACAACTGCTCAACTCTGCTGTTCTATGTGAAAACAGTCATAGACGTCATATAAATGAATGTGGTTATGTTCCAATGTTTTATTTATTTCTGGATGCTGATATTTTAATTAGACATATTCTTACATGTCAAGAACTATTATTCTTTTTTCTCCCTCCCTTCCCCTCTCTCTAAAAATCAACAAATAAAATCTTTTTAAAAAATATTTTGCATGGCAAATAAAATCATCAACAGAATGAAGAGAACCTACTGAATGGAAAAAGATATTCACCAATGATGCATCTGATAAGAAGTTAACATGCAAAATTTATAAAGAATTCATACAGACTTCCGGCCAAGATGGGGGTGTAGGTAGATACACTGTGCCTCCTTGCACAACCAAAATAAGGTCATCAACAATTTAGAACCAAGATAATAACCAGATCTGACAGAAAATTGAACTGTATGGAAGTTGGACAACCAAGGAGATAAAATATACACATTCATCCAGACCAATAGGAGGGTCAGAGTTGGGCAGCCAAGCAGAGAAGGGTCACGGCACAAAAAGCAACACTTAACGAGTAATGCATCCCAAATGTTTAAGGCATCCTGAGCCCACAGGTGGCTGGCAGACCCAGCAAGGCGGCAACTGTGAAGCAAGGCACTGTGCGCAAGGGACCTGGGTGTCCAGGCCACATCGATGTGCAGATAAACCAGGAAAAACTGGGCAGTGAGACCAACTGTGCCACCCAGAGTCCCAGCACCAGGAAATAGAACCTCGGGACACTGATCGAAAACACCTGTGGGAAGTGAGGCACAGAAAGAGACTCCCAGCCTCACAGGAGAGTGCATTGGAGAGACCCACAGGGTCCTAGAATGTATGCAAGCCCACCCACATGGGAATTAGCACCATAAAGGCCCAGTTAGTTGGGAGAAGTGGTGGAAAGGACTGAAATCCAATGAAGAGAGGAGCAAGCACCATTGTTTCCTCTCAGACCCTGCCCCCACATACAGCATCACAACCCAGCTACTGGCTTGCCCTGCCCTGGTGAACACCTAAGGCTCCACCCCTCATAATTAACAGGTATGACCAGGCCAAAAAAAAAAATGGCTCAAACCAAAGTACAAATCAGAGCCCAAGAGCCAATACATTTAAGTGACCAAGAGACAGCCAACCTATCAGATGCACAGTTCAAAGCACTGGTGATCAGGATGCTCAAAGAATTGGTTGAATTTGGTTGTAAATTAGATGAAAAAATGAAGGCTACAATAAGAGAAATGAAAGAAAATGCATAGTGATGGGAACCAATAGTGATGGGAAGGAAACCAATAGTGATGGGAAGGAAACTGGGACTCAAATCAATAGAGTGGACCAGAAGAAAGAAAGAAACAACTAAACATAAAAGAATGAAGAAATAAGTATTCCAAAAAAATGAGGAGAAGCTTAGGAACCTCCAAGACATCTTTAAACATACCAACACGTGAATTATAGGGGTACCAAAAGGGGAAGAGGAAGAGCAACAAGTGAAAAAGTTATTTGAACAAATAATAAAGAACTTCCCTGATCTGGCAAAGGAAATAGACTTCCAGGAAGTCCAGGAAGCTCAGAGAATCCCAAAGAAGTTGGACCCAAGAACACACCAAGGAACATCCTAATGACATTAGCCAAGGTAAAAATGAAGGAGAGAATTGTAGAAGCAGCAAGAGATAGGGAGACAGTTACCTACAAAGGAGTTCCCATCAGACTGTCAGTTGATTTCTCAAAAGAGACCTTACAGGCAAGAAGGGGCTGGAAAGAAGTATTCCAAGTCATGAAAGGCAAGGACCTACATCCAAGATTGCTCTGTCCGGCAAAGCTTTCACTTAGAATGGAAGGGCAGATAAAGTGCTTCTTAGAGAAGGTCAAGTTAAAGGAGTTCATCATCACCAAGCCCTTATTATATGAAATGTTAAAGGGACTTATATAAGAAAAAGAAGATAAAGAACAAGTGCAGTAAAATGATTACAAACTCACAATTATGAACAACCACACCTAAAACAAAAAACAAAAAATAAACTAAGCAAACAAGTAGAACAGGAACAGAACCACAGAAATGGAGATCACATGGAGGGTTATCAACAGGGGAGTGGGAGGGGGAGAGAGGGGGAAGAGGTACAGAGAATAAGTAGCATAGATGGTAGGTAGAAAATAGACAGGGGAGGGTAAGAATAGTATGGGAAATGTAGAAGCTAAAGAAATTATGACACATGGACATGAACTATAGGGGGAGAATGTGGGTGGGAGATGGTGTGCAGGGTGGAGGAGAGTGAAGGGGGGCAGATGGGACAACTGTAATAGCATAATCAATAAAGTATATTTTAAAAAAGAATTCATACAACACAAAATCAGAAAAGCAAACAATCTAACTAAAAAGTGGGCAGAGAACCTGAATAGACACTTTTCCAAAGAGGACATACAGATGACCAATAGACATATGAGAAGATGCACATCATTAATCATCATAGGAATGCAGAGTTAAACCACAACAACAGCAACCAGTCATGTCCACTGGGCATGGTGGTGCAGAGCCTAGCCAAAGCCATGCCTCTGATCCATCAGATCCATTCACCCAGCAGATATTTGCATCTCAGACTGATGGGGAGCTGAAAGTGACCCAGATTCTCAAAGAAAACTTTCCTTGATCTATAGCTATCAAAGTCACCAATATTTCTGGAGACTAGGAGGCAATGTAAGAAATCCAAATCAAATCAGGAGAAATTAAGGGAAAGAGGACTGTCCAGCAGCACCAGATGGTAAATCAGGTACTGAAAGAAGAAATCAAAGGAATGCACAGATTGCAAATGTTTACTTCTGTACCAAACTCTGACCACATGCAGATACTGCTATTTAAAACCTTCAGTGAACTTGACCATTCTTTCCTAGGCATTTGCAAAATAAAAATAGATCTATTTTGTTCATAGACATTTCCATATTATAATCACAGAATATGTTGTCTATTTAGATGTTAATGGAGGGCAAGAGACAACTAAAAATAAAAATAAAAACCACAATGTGATAACACCTCACACCTGTCAAAATGGCTATCATCAATTAATCAACAAACAAGTGTTGGCAAGGATGTGGAGAAAAGGGAACACTTGTGCATTTTTGGTGGGAATGCAGACTGGTGCAGCCACTATGAAAAACAATATGGAGAATCCTCAAAAAAATTGGACCTGCCTCATGATCCAGCAATTCCACTTCTGGGTATATATCTTGAAGAGACCCAGAACACTAATTCAAAAAAAAACATATGCACCCTTATGTTCATTGCAGAATTATTTATAATAGCTACAATATGGAAGCAACCCAAGTTCCCAATAATAGATTAGTGGATGTTCCAAAAGCTGTGATACATATATAGAATAGAATAGAATTAGCCATTAAAAAGAATGAAATATTACCATTTGTGACCGCATGGATTGTTTCAGAGGAGCAATTTTCAACTATTGTGCCATGGTACACTGGTGTGCTGCAAAATTATTTAAAATATGCAATATCTGAATATTTAGTCAAAGGCACTGACCTCTGTTCCCTTAGATTTTCAGATAAAAAAATGACCCTGATTGGAGTGGTTCACTTGATTGAGCATTGTCCCACATAGCAAGGGTTAATGGTTTTATTCCTGGTCAGGGTATGTATCTGAGTTATAGGTTTCATCCCTGGTGGGGGTATATAGTAGAGGTAACCAATCAATGTTTCTGTCCCTCTCTTTCTCCCTTCTCTATAAAAATAAATAAATAAAATATTTAAAAAATTTTTAAATGACAGCTGCCAACACAATAGCTGTCTAGTGTGAATGAATCAAAATTATACCTATTTTTAAAAATTATCTTATTGTTATTCAAGTACAGTTGTCTGCATTTACCCCTCACCACCACCTGTCTACACAAGCCATTCCCACCCTTTGGTTTTGTCCATGTGTCCTTTATAGTTGTTCCTGAAAACCTTCCCCACTGACCCCCCATTTTCCGCTCCCAACTCCTCTCTGGTTACTGTCAGATTGTTCTTAATTTCAATGTCTCTGGTTATATTTTGCTTGCTTGTTTGTTTTGTTGATTAGATTCCACTTAAAGGTGAGATCATACGGTACTTGTCTTTTACCTCCTGGCTTATTTCCCTCAGCATGATGCTCTCCAGTTCCACCCATGCTGTCGCAAAGGGTAGGAGCTTCTTCTTTCTTTCCACTGTGTAGTATTCCATTGTGTAAATGTACCATAGTTTTTGATCCATTCATTTACTGATGGACACTTAGGTTGCTTAGGTTCCAACACTTGGCTATTGTAAATTGTACTGCTATGAACATTGGGATGCATAGGTTCTTTTGGATAGTACTTCAGGTTTCTTGGGGTATATCTCCAGCAGTGGGATTGCTGGCTCAAAAGGCACTTTCATTTTTGGTTTTCTGAGGAAATGCCATACTGTTTTCCACAGTGGTTGTACCAGTCTGTGTTCCCACAACAGTGCACTAGGGTTCTCTTTCCTTCACAACCTCTCCAACACTTGCTTTTTGTTGGTTCGTTTATCATGGCCATTCTAACTGGTGTAAAGAGGTTTCTCATTGTGGTTTTAATTT